CTACAGGGTATAGGGGATTCGAACTGTAGACCTGTGGGGTAGGAGTCTAGACAGTCTAGAGGGGCTGTAGATTGTCCGAAGGGTCAAAGTCGTAGCTGCTACTTACCTGAAAGGGCAGAGTCATAGCTGCTACAGTACCGAAAGGCCAAGTAGAGAGTTCTAGAAGTGGCCTTTCGGAAGTCAGCCCACTGTAGGTCTAGGCAAGTGGGCAAGTGGTGGAAGTCCACCACGCAGAGTCAGCAGTCCCAGCCCAGCCAGTCCGGTCCAGTCAAGCAAGTACCGTCTGGGACTGTGCACCCCGTGGGCCAGGGAAACAGGGCAGACCAACGAGTCACAGAAGTATAAATCAAGAGGCTGCGCCCAGCCATTCATTCATTCCTGCGGAAGCCATGCGGAAGCGCTGCCTCAGCGTCTCGTGCGAGGAGGTCTGCAGTAGGCCCGAAGCTGAAGTGGGCGCGAGTGATGAAGTAGCCATAGCGATAGGGTAGAGGCAGCTAGCGCTGCCATAGCTGTAGCTTAGGGTGTTGTGTGTGTGTGTTGCGTGAGTGTTCTGAGTGAAGCGTGTGGGATATCCAGGGTGATCCGGAGTGTGTGAACAGTGGGTTGTTGGGCGCTCAGTCGCCATAGCAAGTGGAAGCGAACTTACCTGGAAGCCATATCTCTGAGTACTGTGTGGGCGCATGTCGCCAGTTTGTTGTGCTGCTGTTCACGTGGATGAAAAGTGTGAATAAGTCGAGTCTAATTGCACCATCTTTTCCATTCATTTATTTCGTCCTTGGTAGATTGGAGTAAGTCGTGGTAGAAGGAGTTGGAGGGATCTGATGCTAGGTTGGTTTCTGCGATGTCGAGTAAGATTTGTAGTTCTTCCTTCCTGTGTTGGCGTTCTGCTGCTATGCTTCTAGACTCTGATGAGACCGTCTGAGACAGGTCCATGTAGCTGTCTATCAACCATTTGTGCCTGTCCCGGAGTTTCTTCTCGTCTTGCTGCATGAACCACCAGTTCCATCTGACTGCCTCGGTCATGCATTCAGTGGATAGGAGTGAGTTGTTGAGTCTATAGAAGCCTTGTCCTTTTTCTACCGGGGAGTTGAAGTTGAGGAGCAAGTAGGTTGGTTTGTGGTTGAGCCCCTTAAAGGCTGTTGCTGGTAGGATACCGGCCTCCTTTATTGCTCCCTACAACATGTCTGAAATTAGGAAGAAATTGATTCGTGATAGTGATGTGTGGTTAGATCGGTTCCTCTTGACTAGGGAGAAGGCTTTCTTGCGTGGGTGGAGGATTCGGAATGGGTCGACCAGGTCGAAGTCTGTCATGGTGTTCCGTAGGTGAGTGCTTGCTCGTGTGGGCCCCAACAGCACTGCCCGAGAAATGCGATCTAGGCTGGGGTCCATCGTAGTGTTCCAGTCGCCTGCTATAATTAGCGGTAGTGGGGTCGGGAAAAGTGATTTGATGTGATCGAAGAAAGCGAGGCGTTCGGCTTCCGTGTTGGGGGCATATAGGTTTAGGATTCTGATCTCTTCCCCTTGCCATGTGATTTGAATCCATGACCATCTCCCTTCCGTTGTGTCTCCTTTGCCGCTACTTATCAGACCCTTAGACCATATTTTGGAAGTAGTTGGTATGAGGATTGCTGTGCCGCGGTTGCTTTGGTCCGCTTTGTTGGACCATAGTGAGAAAGGGCATCCCCCTAGGCTTTTCTCCACAGTCCTCTTTATTCTGGTGTGGTTAGTGAGGTTGGATAGGTGGGTTTCTTGTAGGAGAATGATGTCGGGTTTGGGCTTTTTTTTTTCTGTGAGGCCGAGTCCGAGTCTGATGTCTCTTAGAAATAAAATAATAAATAAAATAATTTAATATTTAATATAGACTTTGACAGTTTGTACTAATTTGTAAGTCGATACTGTTTTTGAGATCGACCCACTGTCCTAAAATAATTGTGGGCTGTGACAGAGTCTTCATAGAGTCTTCACAGCGTCTTCCAGCGGCTTCACAGTGTCTTCACTGAGAGCCTTCACAGTGTCTTCACCGAGAGCCTACGTATCATAGCAGCTGGTCATATGGATCCGTACCGCTGGGGCCTAAGACCTCCTCTGTGCACCTTCACGGATTCGAACCGGCGACCTCGGCCTCAAGAGCCAAGTATCGTTACCCCTACAACCAGGACACTGTGTTCAAATTGAAAGTGGAACCATGCCGGTAGAGATATCCACCCCACCTCTGCAAGGCTGTAGAGTCCAAATGCAACTCAAAACTCCCACGGACGCATCGGCAATTCTTGCACACTCAGCTCCAACTCAGCACGCATCCTTCGCAGTTACCTAGCTGTTGAGGTACAGTGAGTGGGCTACGTACTGGTAATGGTATGCATTGATTCGATGTGTCCATCAGAATCAATACATACCGTTACCGGTACTTTGCCCACTCACCATACCAGGCTCTTTGAGCTACGGGGCAGTTCACGGGAGGCTTCCACGGTTGGTTCTATGGATCCGTACCTCTGGGCCTAAACCCTCCTCCGTGCACCTGTACGGACTCGAACCGGCGACCTCGGCCTTAAGAGACTTGTATAACGGCAAGGATTCGTATCGGCGACCTTCGCCTCAAGAGCCAAGTCTCTTAACCACTACAGCCA